TGATTGAATTAAGTTTTAGAGTTTAGCCCGCTTGCCCGCCAGCCCGCCCAGTTCACACTGCTTGCTCGCTACACTGGTAGCCCGCCCAATTCACACTGCTAGGAAATGTATCATGAGGTTTTAATATTGATTGAATTAAGTATTAAAGTTTAGCCCGCTGACCCGCCAGCCCGCTCAGTTCACACTGCTATCCCGCTACACTGTTATCCCGCCCACTTCACACTGCTAGGAAATGTTTCATAACGTTTTCATGTTGATTGAATTAAGTATTAAAGTTTATCCCGCTGGCCCGCCAACCCGCTCAGTTCACACTGCTAACCCGCTACACTGTTAGCCCGCCCACTTCACACTGCTAGGAAATGTTTCATAACGTTTTCATGTTGATTTTATTGATTATTAAAGTTAAGCCTGCTGGCCCGCCAGCCCGCCCATTTCACACTGCTAGCCCACTACACTGTTAGCCCGCCCACTTCACACTTTTAGGAAATGATTCATTACGTTTTCATGTTGATTGAATTAAGTATTAAAGTTTAGCCCGCTGGCCCACCAACCCGCTCAGTTCACACTGCTAGCCCGCTACACTGTCAGCCCGGCCACTTCACACTGCTAGGAAATGTATTATGACGTTTTAATGTGGATTCAATTTAGTATTAAAGTTTATCTCGCTGACCCGCCAGCCCGCCGAGTTCACACTGCTAGCCCGCTACTTTGTTAGTCCGCCCACTTCACACTGCTAGAAAATGTATCATGACGTTTTAATGTGGATGCAATTTAGTATTAAAGTTTATCTCGCTGACCCGCCAGCCCGCCGAGTTCACACTGCTAGCCCGCTACTTTGTTAGCCCGCCCACTTCACACTGCTAGGAAATGTATCATGAGGTTTTGATGTTGATTGAATAAATTATTAAAGTTTAGCCCGCTGGCCCGCCAGCCCGCCCAGTTCACACTGCTAGCCCGCTACACGGTTATCCCGCCCACTTCACACTGCCAGGTAATGTATCATAACGTTTTCATGTTTAATCAGTTTAATCTAGGAAATGTTTCATAACGTTTTCATGTTGATTCAATTAATTTTTAAAGTTTATCCCGCCAGCCCGCCCAGTTCTCACACCTAACCCGCTACACTGTTAGCCCGCCCACTTCACACTGCTAGGAAATGTATCATGAGGTTTTGATGTTGATTGAATAAATTATTAAAGTTTAGTCCGCTGGCCCGCCAGCCCGCCCAGTTCACACTGCTAGCCCGCTACACTGTTATCCCGCCCACTTCACACTGCCAGGTAATGTATCATAACGTTTTCATGTTTAATCAGTTAAGTTTTAGAGTTGAGCCCGCTCGCCCAGTTCACACTGCTAGCCCGCTACACTGTCAGCCCGCCCACTTCACACTGCTAGGACATGTATCATAAGGTTTTAATGTAGATTCAATTAAGTATTAAAGTTTAGCCCGCTGGCCCGCCAGCACGCCCATTTCACACTGCTAGCCCGCTACACTGTTAGCCCGCCCACTTCACACTGCTAAGAAATGTTTCATAACGTTTTCATTTTGATTGAATTAAGTATTAAAGTTTAGCCCGCCAGCCCGCTCAGTGCACATTGCTAATCCGCTACACTGTTATCCCGCCCACTTCACACTGCTAGGAAATGTATCATAACGTTTTCATGTTAATTAAATTAAGTATTAAAGTTTAGCCCGCTGACCAGCCAGCCCGTTCAGTTCACACTGCTATCCCGCTACACTGTTATCCCGCCCACTTCACACTGCTAGGAAATGTTTCATAACGTTTTCATGTTGAATCAGTTAAGTTTTAGAGTTTATCCCGCTGGCCGCCAGCCCGCCCTGTTCACACTGCTAGACCGCTAGACTGCTAGCCCGCCCAGTTCACACTGATATCTCGCTAGACTGTTAGCCCGCGTACTTCATGGCCATGTACTAGACTACCTTCCTCCGCGCTAAACTACCAAAGCTTCTCGAACCCACGCCAGAGAGGTAACTGGATTAGAAGTCATCGACTCTAACCCCTCGACCACGGAGGCAATTTTGATTGAATCTTTGAAATATGAAAATAATAATTTTATATGGTCACTGAAAAAATGTCACGTTTATAGGGTACAATCGACTATATTTGGATACTGGTGTTCATAAGTCCTAAACGCTTCTTTAAATAATATGCATGAAGTGACTGGTAGTTACATGTTCCGGTGATGTATGAATTTCATTCATATGATATTGCAGCTTTTCCGCCCTTCACGTCAGTCTTCGGATAGAACCTCGTTCATTTCTATTTATGTTTGGTTGGGTTTTACGCCGCTCCAACACAATATAAGTCACATAGCGAGGGTCCAGCTTTACTGGTATGAAGGCCTCGTGTGCCATTTTGTGCATTATTTCAGACTCAAACGACCACTAGGGTAGAACCGCCAACGTTCCGTAAGCTAGCTGGACGGCTTTCACATATCAAACAAATCCGTAGACACTGGCGCAGCTCGAACGTATAGCGATGAGAGGTAAGGGGTTTGATGCACTCGGCTACGGACGGTTATATAGTTTTGAGCAGTCCATTTTAAAGTTATATAGGTAAATGAAATATTGTACATCCAGATATTTAAATTAAATGGCAATAATTTGATAAATCACTTTCAGTTAACCTGTGTCTACCCGAGTTAATCTTTGAATGGACTATGCATGTATTTTCATTACTGAAGAAAGTCCGGTTTATCGTGCCCTGATTATAGTATGTGTCTAACCTACTCCAAGAAGCTAAACATGTAAACAAATGGTAAGCAAATGCTCGGAGTTTTGACTAAGTTTTGTAAAAGGGCACTTTAATTAAGTAAACATACAGATGTAACTTTTTATAGTTCATTATCTGAATAATTATTGTTATGCTTATTGAAACCGAAAGTACAAAATGTATACCTGATAAGACATGAATTCCTATTTGGTTATGAAGGAGGGGGAGTGGGGTTGATAATTTTTTTATACTGTAAGGCACATATATTTTCAATCCAATCCGTATTTAGTCCGAGATTTTTTTATGAATAATCGCCGAGGAGGTCCGATTGTGAGCGTTGTTTAAATAAGACAACATGAGAATCAAACGGTTGTGCTAGTATTAATAGTGTCTGACTTGCACTTTTCGTCAAATTGAAATAATCCCTTTACCCTATGATATAACCTTTTTAATCATTTATCATCATAAAGAAATCCTTTGACATGACTAAACATGTGTTATCTTTTTGTATGATAAGACTCTTAGATATCGGCATGTATCTGCATGTTTTAAAATGATTTTAACTTGATATATGCACGCCCAAATGTGTTTAGTGACATATGGAAATTATAGGATGACTTTGTCATGAACCCCATTCGCTCGAAATCAGTTCCGGCAGAATTTTTAAATTATGGTCGCTCGAAAACTGACCGCTCGAACTTGATCTTTAGTCTCTTCGATTACTTAATTTGGTAAATGAGCCGCGTCACGACAAAACCAACAACATGGGTTTGCGACCAGCATGGATCCAGACCAGCCAGCGCATCCGCGCAGTCTGATCAGGATCCATGATGTTCGCTTACAACCCTATAACAAGTAGAGAAGCTGATAGCGAACAGCATGGATCCTGATCAGACTGCGCGTCAGGTAGTTAACAGTATCACAATGTGTTTGGGGATTTTTAATTTCATAATATGCAGACGAAGAAAGAAAAACACACTCTAAAAACAATTGTACTCTGGCAAAAAATATGTTCTATTTATCCTTTTTTTTATATATATAGATTAGAAACCACGCTGGAAACAATTAATAAATAACTAAGTATGTGTTTACAAAGTTTGTCAACCTCTTAATTTTCGAAAGGTTAAACCCCTCTTAACAACGAGCTTGCTGTTCATTTTCTAAATCACATTTTAATTTATTTACTTTAACAACGTTAAAGAAAAATGAAAACGGAGATTGCAAAAAAACATGTTGAAAGTATAAAATCACGTTTCCTTATACCAGGAAAACGTGATTTAGTAACTCATTTTTTTCAGTAACACGATCGGTAATTTCCGCCAATTTCGGGTGATTAGGTAGGACAATCCCTATCAATCATGTACGTCTCACCATTTCCCGCTAATAGATAAGAAAATCAAAGTGTCAATTCTATGAATTGTGTTATAAATAGCGTGTTTTTTGTAAACGAAGGTCATGTGAAATTCTTTTACAACTTCTTTGGTAATCTTTCAAGTGCTGTAAGATCTAATACAGTTTTCCACTTATGCCACCCCCTTATTTTAAAACACATATACATATGCACTAATTGACCTTTTGACATATTTGAATTGACCATAGTCCTTCGCTATTTTATTTCCTTTTTATCATATTTTAAGGACACTTATCTTGAATGGTATCATACTGCACGGTTTGTCATTCAAGTGCGTAGGCTTACGGCCGTCAATCGTGATTACTTTATATTTTAACAATATCAGATGCTACGTATATGCTTTCCTCGACGGTAAATATATTACATTAGAAAATTCAATAAACGAAATAAAATTCAAACAAGAAACCAACACACTTGTAAACTTTCCCCCACGTACTGTCAAAATAGAAATTTTTATTGCAGGACAATTTAAAAAGATTAGTACAAGTAGTAATAAAAACGCTTTTCAAACCATTTTCAATATTTACACAAAAAAAACCCAAAAAACAACAGTTTAGCCAGTAACGCAGGAATGTGAAAACATCCACATAAAGATTATGCTGGAGTAACGACGGATCTTTGAAAATATATGGCCGAAACGATTTTAAGGTAAGTAAACAGAGCAATATGTTTTTAAGTAAATCGTATCAACAGAAAATGATAAGCACTTACGTCTGCTTAGATATAAATATTTCAAGGAAAGTGTTTAAGGTCTTTCGTTAAAATGACGGCCTGCATAAAAACTTCTTTGTATGACATGATTTAGGAGTTAGGATAATAAGGTTGTTATGATGGAATAAAAAAATAAACACATATTTCATATACTATTAATAATTTTATCAAACATAAATGTGTATTAAAACCCGTAATAAGACGAAGACGCACCTTCCTTAATAACTAGAATTTGGCGCTCGTAGAAAATTAATAGCATTATCATTTTATTGCAAACCGAACAATAAGGCAAACATACTAAATAATCATTCATGATAATGTTTACTCATATCAGAACTTAACTTGTCACCACGAAAGTTTTCTGCCATTAATTAAAGGCTGATATTTACTGAGATATGTTGGAGTATTCCTCCAACTTATGAAAATATGCAGTGGATGCAGCGGAAATGTATTCATCAAAGACTTCCTATTGGAACAAAATGAAGCGAGAACAACGATTGCACGTATTGGTATCATATCTGTCACAAGGATTTATTAATGGGGTCTACTTGATGCCTTAAAATGAAATTTAAAAGGTTCACAAACGACGACAAGGAAGTTTGGTTTTGATTTCACGTAGAGGGTTGCTGCTTCAACACCTTCTTGTGCTGATGTCTCTTTATCTCCGATATTTAACTTGCAACTCTGCATGTGAACCGAAATAACACTATCCGTATTTAACGGAATACTGTCAACAAATTTTTCAAAAGAATCTAAAGTCATGGTCGAATTCAGTAAACATATCCTTTCGATTTTTCCTTGGGATTCTGCATCCAATTCTACATGTCTGTCTCCAAAATCACAGTTATATAATGATAATCTCTTAAGTTTTTTGAGTGATGGAAGAATCAACAAAAGGGTATTGAACGTGTCATCTGATGAGATTCCTAATAGTGTCAATTCAAACAGTTCTGGTGCATTTCTGATATCGAGCAGTAATGCAGATGTTTTATGAGTAGCTGTACTACAGTCCTCAAATATCAAAGTGCCAAGACTTGTGCAATTTACTCTTGTTTCGTGTTGTCCATACTCGTACACATGATGTAGACGTAAAAAGTTGAGTTTCTCGTGACGCGACAAGTTGAGACTGCTTCCCGTACATTCTTTATGCTCGTAACATCTTATTTGAAAAAGCAATATTTGGATCAAATCTGATTTTTCCGATATGAATGCAAATAGATCCGTAAGTTCTTGGTGTTTAAGTGAAATATTGTACAGGTCTATAGAGGTTAAGTTAGGAAACAACAACTCGACCAAATTAAACATGCCGCGAGCATTTGAAATGGATATGCATGTTAAAGTTTCTATCGAAGAATTCATGCAACTCATATATTTTTCCATGTCTTTGTCAAAGGAACATTCATCATCTGGGAAATGTATTGATATCTTTTTAACATTCTTTATCTCAAGCAGATCGTCGTGATATTTTTCAGTTGCTATAGACTTCAGGATACCTTTGTTTGATTCAAAAAGTGACCGAAGATTATCAGAATATGTTTCTGGTAAGAAAAAGTCTTCAAGAGGCAAAAGTACACCTCTTCCGACAGTCCGCTGACTTTCCTCTTGACATTGTAAAGCAAGTGTTTGATACGATTGCAATAACCTTTCGGCATCCCTAACGTCGCTGAATTTAGGATCTGTTATTATGCTAAACGGTGGTAGCATAACAACAAATCCAAATTTGTAGTCTGCAAAAGACCTGTATGTACGGATTTGTGCATCTGAAAGTAACATATCTTTTATCTTTGCATCTAGCTTTAAAACAAGTTCTGGACACATACCTGACAGAAAGATAAACATATTTTCATACCTAAGAAACATCCTTAAAGTTTTACAAGTGGTAAATATTTTGTTTTCAACGAAAGCTACATCTTCCTGCATGGCAATGTAGAGTGCTGCAAAGAACTCCTGGTAGCTTTTATGAAGAAAGCTGAGCCTCAGTTTTCGTTTCAAGAGCGTTCCAACAACTTTATTCTTTGATAAGATACCTACAGACAGCAAATTATTCATTTCTGCTTCTGATATATCGTAAATTTTACCGCTGGCACTTTCAAAGATTAATTCTGATTCTCCGTCTTTATTCCCAAAAAGACCATGAAACGCTAAATTACCTATCTTGTAAAGAAGTGACTTGTGTATTAAAATATTTTGTAACGAGTTGAAGCACTTTGGAAGATTTCGATTGAAACCGTCTTGAGTCTGCGTCTCATTTAGATATGCACGGTTTGCGCATTGACCATCTTTGTTTTCGGAAACCCTTTTGAAAAGCATATCGATCGTTTCGCCGTATATCCAACATCTTGATTTGCCGAGTGTCAATTCATCGAACCAAACACAAATTAACTGCATCAATATGATTGGAACTTCACAGACTGTATCTAATTTGTTTAATGCAACTTCTTTTTTGAAAGCTTTTGGATCCCTTGAAACATCTAACTTCTTGTTTAAATGCTCGATAACCGAAATGGTTAGCTGGGCACGGGCTTGTTGATCCAGTCCAGTTAATACGATCTGTTGGTCAATTTCTTTTGTCTTTAACCGATTACCTTCTAGCTTCCACGGCCTAGTTGTAGTGATAAAAATGCAATTCTTGGACGGCAGACGATGTGGCAGCTTTTGATTATTTGGACATGTATCCTGCATTGTTGGGTGAGTCCATTCATCAAGTCCATCCAGAATAATTAAGCAAACTTCGTTTTCTAAGATTTGTGCAATTTCATCAGCATTCGCTAATGCTTGCAATTGTTGTTCAATCATCTGTTTCACGTGACATAATCTTGTTTCTCTAAGGGAAACGTAAAACAAAAAATTGAATTGTTTTAAAGCATCAATATCCTCTTTCAGAAAGTTGTGATTTTCTGTTTCACCTGATCTAGCATGGCACCATGCCAAAACCATTCGTTGACAGAATGCTGTTTTACCTATTCCGGCCTCTCCCGTGATATAAATATTTCTACAAAGTTGTCCACTTTTGGAAAAGATATCTTTATATGATTTAACAATTGCACCTTTGCAATTGACATTATGATGATCAACTTGCTTTAAAGATGGTTTAACAAAAAACTCTATCAGTTGAGTATCTTCTTCTTCTATCAAAGCAGAAATCGGTAATGTCGAAAACTCATCTTGATATACTTCAATAAGGCGTTTGGCAAAATCTGCAAGTAAAACAAAAGTTATTGTTGCACTAACATGGCTATTTTTATCAACAGTCGGATAATTCAGTACATGTACTATATATTGCCATTTGACCTATTTTTATACAAATTGAATGAATAATTCTGATAAAAAAGAACATTCAAAACAAAAATGATTTCGTTTTCATTCTAAAGGGAAATAATTTGTGCAAGCACCGTGTAGCGATGTATGTGCTAAATAGCAAAATGCCATTTACTGTTGTACAATTTGCACATCCTCAGTTTTGTCAGCTGAGTCACTATTTTGATTGCAATACAGGTAAAGTTCGTTTGTCAATGTAGAATCATTCTTAAGGGTAAAATTTAATACTTAATTAATAAAGTACCTTGTAACGATAGCAAATAGCAAAATGGCATCTTTAGTTGCTCGATTGCACTTTTTACATCGTCAAGTTTGTTAGACAAGTGCTCCATAGCCTGGCAAAACATTCTATTACCCATAACTGAAACGTTGTTTTCATTGAATTCATTGAACAACGATCCTACATCTTTTACATCGGAAGTTATTGTTAATGACCCGTCTTTCAACTGAAATAATATATATGGGATTCATATCATAAATCTTTGGTGTACATCTTTAGATTTTTAAATAGCTGTAAAATGGGGGCGTGTTCGATAAAAGGATTAGTGAAAAACTACTATATGCGTGGTAATTTTCGCGGCGTGGAATATTTGCGATTTTTTGCAAATTCATAAAACTTGCGAAGTATAAACCAGAAAAAAATCATCTTCCAAGGTCGTTCCGTAACCGACAGATATTAGAGACAATTTTCAATCTGGTGATAATTCTTTAGTTCTAACGAATCATTGAATAATTGTAGATACTACTTAAAAAGTAATTCGTGATTCTACACACAACATGTATTGAAACTTGTAACATTGTGATTTCACGATTTTTGACGCGCAAAAATATCAACTTTGATACCGCACATAAAATATAATTAATAACCAATGTTAATTCAAACTGCAAAGTATCCATTTGTTCATAACAGCATTTGTTAAAAAGTGTACCTTTGCTATATTTTGCAAGGCTGCTTTTGCTGATTCATTTGATGATAAATACTTTGGGTCTGTAAGTATCATTTCTAGAATACGTGAGTATTCTGTAAATTCATCGTCACATACTTCAAACGTCGCTGAATGCCGAAACTGTCTTGAAATACGTCTTGCCTGTAATATTGCAATATCTGATATTATTTTCTAATATATACTGCATATTATGTCGTAGCATTCTGAGGCTTTGTATTTTGCTACGAGCAATTTTCCTACACAACAAGTAACATCTAATACATGGCATCAGAAAGCTAATACAACATAATCATCTCTTTAGTGTATGCCTTTACGTTTTAAGACAGCAAGAGTTTCATTATACTTAACTTCCTTGAGTTAAATGCACAGGGGATTCTGTCATTTGTTTTCCTTTCCCACTATATATATAATATAACAAGGGATACAACTCAAAATTGCTCAATTCATGAAAAAGTAAATAGAACGAAGTATACAACAGATTTTTTTCATTTGATTGTTGGACATTGATGAAAGAATCGATAATTTCAAAAAAATGACTCACTTTGTTACATGGACAAGATACTCGTATTATTAAAAATAACCTTTCATGTTTCATTTTTACACACGTTCGTAACATTTTGGTTTGTAAAATTACACGTGTAAAACGACATCTTATGCAAACGTATGCTCATATAAGAAAGTTTAATCATGTAATCGGTTAAATATCAATCATCCACCACCATCAATGATGCAATCATTAACATCTGGTACAAATTATTCTAACAATTTTTGTTTGTTTTGATAATTTCTATCCTCGGCTTCCATTTTGAGGTTGCCCGTATGTTCCATGCGTAAATGCCAACTTCAGTTAGTGACTGTAAATTTCATTGGCTAATAAAAAATAATACTCCGGATAATAACGGCGTATACCCGCGACAAATTGCGGGGTTTTCATCAGCCAATAAAAATACTCGGAACATAAACACACCAGCAAAATGGACGACAACTTGACAGCCAATGTAAATATTGAAATGTTAGCTATTTCCTGCAATGTTACAGGTTTTAATGTAGTGTTTGTAGTAGAACTTGGGTAATGACTCGTTCATATATTAACTTCTACAATAACTTTGATGGAATAGAGGTTATTTTATACAGTTTACACGTGTGAACCTGTGCTGGAAGTGCGAGGCCGCGACTTGTATCCCTTGATTATATTATATATGAGCCGCGTCACGACAAAACCAACAGTCGGATCAGGATCCATGCTGTTCGCTATCACTTTATTTACTTGTTATAGGGTCTGTAAGCGAACAGCATGGATCCTGATCAGACTGCGCGGGCTGGTCTGGATCCATGCTGGTCGCATACACATTATGTTGGTTTTGTCGTGACGCGGCTCATATATAGATTTAATTACATAATGACAGATTTCCCTGTGGTTAAATGCAGAACTGAAAAAAAAAATGCTGTTAAGAAATAAAATTCATGAATGACGGATGAATAGTACTTTTTTGCAAAAGAGACCACGCCTTCATCAGTTTTGGTTCCCGTTTCCAAACACTATGTAATACACGGCTAACATGGGAACCAACGTGAAAAAAGGTCCGGCACTTCCATATTTACAGATTTTTCTATCCGTTGAAGCGTAATCGCACTTTAAGATTTGTGCGCGAAAAAATGTATAGATATATAATAAAACTTTATTATAGACATATTAATTTTCTTCCTTAAATTCGCGTAAATCATAAAGTATCTTATCTGATACAAACAGGTAGAAAAATTCGTATAAGTAAATGACAAATACGTTATCCCATATGGAAGAACCGGGGTATTTATCTTCGTTTGTTCCAACTTTGGCTGTACATTGCGTCGTGTTCCGAAGCGGAAACCGATACGACTGAGGGCGAAGCCTATGTTTCAAAGCTCTTGTCTCCATTCGTCATTGAAGACTTTTTTCTTGACAGCTATATTTCAATTTGTGACGGTTTAGTAATTAGAATCTCTTTTTTGTTTAAAAATATCAATTTTCCTACGTTGCCTGTAGCTAAATAAAAGGCTCGCAGCGTTAATACAACTGAGTGGGCGGGTTTTTTTATTCATTTAATATAAATCGAATAGAAACCGACAAAATTTGAAATGTTGCAGTCTTGGTTGTTAAGTTTCAATCAATTAGGAAAAGGAATTAATGCGAAAGTGAATGGGGCGTAAGAGATTTTGATATTGTAATAAAATATTTCGAACAGTCTCGAATTTTATGCTCGACTATACGAAGTATATGGAGAGCTGTCCTACTCGCCCCGGCGTCGGCGTCCGCGTCCAGATTTAAGATTAAAGTTTTGGTGCAGTAAAATATTTTACACTATAACTTTGTCATTTCTTAAGGTATCAACTTCAAACTTCAAATATATGTGTCTTATCATCAACCACATCTTATGTGACAAGGGTCATAACTCTAGGACCAATATTTTCAGATTTATCTCCCCTTTAACTTAGAATTTTCCTTAGAAATATTATTTTTTACTGTTCCTTCTTTATTTCTTAAAGGATCAAGTTCATACTTCAAATATATGTACATTATCATCATCGACATCTTATGTGACAAGGTTCATAACTCTAGCACCAATATTGCAAGAATTATCTCCACATAAACTTAGATTTTTTTACTAGAAAAATGTTATTTTTTACTATAACTTGTACAACTTAATACATAATTATACAAAATAGATTTTTCTTTCATAGTCTTGTCTTCCTTACTGCGTCCAGTATTTTGTTAGTCGAGCTTCGCTGTCCCCTGTGACAGCTCTTGTTGTATTTAAAGACACGTGGTGAATAATTAAATGTTATATATATATATCAATATATTTCATAAACAGACTTTGATTTTGAAAATCCTTATTATGAAAGGTGGGCAGACTTTCGAGCGGCAGACAAACAGGTGGATGATTTCGGACAATAAGCAGTCTCAGCATGTCCAGCAACGCAGGAATATGAAAATTAGGCAAGAATTGTGTAAATGTACGCCGAATTTGTTGCTTTGGCTTACGATCTATAAATGGGGTCCCTGATGTACACAGAATATGATTATTAATATTTGTTTAATGGCTTACAATTATCTCAATTTTGCAAGAGTGATTTCTAGCAACTAATATGCATGTCTAAATGGAAATACTGCTCTGGCTTGAGACATTCTATGCTTTTTCCTATGACTAACTTACGGTGACATGTGTGTGTGTGTTTATTTATCTCCTGCGCACTAGATACTATGTCATGGCCATGAGATAATTAAGTGGGGGGAACGAGATACTATGTCGTGGCCACGAGATAATTAAGTCGTGGGAACGAGATACTATGTCGTTGCCACGAGATACTATGTCGTGGCCACGAGTTACTGAGTCGTGGCCATGAGTTACTTAGTTGTGGCCACGAGTTACTTAGTCGTTGCCACGAGTTACTAAGTTGCGAGCACGAGATAGTTTAGTCGTGGGAACGAGATACTATGTCGTGGCCACGAGTAACTAATAGATGTGCGCACGAGATAAATAACCAATCAGATTACACTATTTATATAAATTTTCATTATTAACTAAACGTGTGCTAAAATACAAGGATGCCCGCACTTCAACTGCCTGTAAAAATGCCATTTATACAAGTTATTGATTTGTCAGGGATTTTACATTTAACGTCATTGTGACCCTGATTTTTGACCCAATGGGCTAAAAATTATTTAGAGTCATCTACTGATCAGGTGCAATGATTTATCTAGGTTATATAAATCATGGCTTATTCCTACTAAATCATTCATCAGGCAAGTATCTTACATGAAGTGTCATGTTTACCTTGACCCTTGATCTCAAACATCCTTATAGGCTATCTGCTGTCCATAGGCAATGTCCCTACCAAATAAAATAAGCCAGGGCTAATTCCTTCCTTCTCAAGTTATCGTATAAACAAGGTTAACAGGCCGTTGTACGTTCAAACTGACAAATTCAATTATAGAACTGTACCCACAAAGGGCTATAGAATAGTAAAAAAATTGTCTGTTTTATGGGCCTAAGAAGGTGACTTTCTAATATGACATGTAATTAAGACATGTATCGAGTTTAAAGTGATAAATTCAGTGTTTTCAAAGATGCATGTAAATCTTTAAACAGATTTTTTCTAAGTTTAAAAAAATCATAGTGTAATCGGATTGGTTAATTATCTCGTGCGCATGACTTAGTTATCTCGTTCCCACGACTTAGTAACTCGTGGCCACGACTTAGTAACTCATGACCACGACTAAGTAACTCGTGGCCACGACATAGTCTCTCGTTCCCACGACTTAACTATCTCGTGGCCAGGACTTAGTAACTCGTGGCCACAACTTAGTAACTCGTGACCACGACATAGTATCTCGTGGCCACGACATAGTATCTCGTTCCCACGACCTAACTATCTTATGACCACGACTTAGTAACTCGTAGCCACGATATAGTATCTCGTTCCCACGACTTAACTATCTCGTACCTACGACTTAGTAACTCGTGGCCACGACAAAATAACTCGTTGCCACGAGATAGTATCTCGTGCGCACGAGATGAATTAAAAAACACACATGTCACCTTTGTGCCACCGTACTAACTGATTGATAAAAATAATAATGTTTCATGTTCACCAGGAACTGTTCTTTAATTAAAATCCCTTTTAATGAAGCAAGAATAAAAGTAATAAAATTTATATATAAATGTACTTCACATAATCTTATAGTTTAAAAAAGTATATGTAAAAATATTTTTTGTCGGAATTTTAAAGTTGTCCAACTTTTACATATAAAGTTAAATAAAATATTTACACTATTTGAGCAAGGGACACCATAATTAGTGGATAATATAAGCTTGTATTACAGATTAACACAGTTATCTTATTAATATGAAAGAACTGGCGATCTTGATTTTTTTAATTCCAATACAATACCAATAAATGCCTGAAATTAATATAATAATAAAATAGAGAAACGAAATCGCTGACTCCTTTGATTTTTGTGCATACACAAAAAGGCAATGAATTTGTAAAGTGTATAAAGCTAGATATCTTATGAAAAAAAGATTGTTTGTATTTTAAAAAAGAATACTTCCAAAATGCTTGTACGAAATAAAAATGGCAATAAACAATAAATTGACTTAAAGCGAGTGGCGCATGCACAAAGTCATTGCTAAACGGATAAAACCCTACTTAAAATAGCCAAATAATATTTTGTTACGTGACATTACTCTTTTTGATAAATAATAGACATTTTGTGTTACAACCTTTTCAGGAATCAACCATATAATAATGGAACCAATAAAATTTTACTGTTGATAAATTTTATAAAAATATTTAATAAGATATAGATTTTTACCCTTTAATATCTATCGTTTTGATTCTAGCACCGCAACTTAATTATCAATAAGACCGCGTGTGAAACAGTTTTTATTTTGTTTTTTGGTGCCATTCAAGGTGTCCACTTTTCATTATTTTGTTTAACAACTTAAAACATTTATATAGAGAATTGAGTTTAAACCGGTCAATATTGCTTTTTTGAATGAACATAATCAAGATACCTTTTCAAATGCATTGCCTTTCTGTGTCAAGTCCTCCTTCAATATGTTTTGGAATCCTTTGTAATTTATTATTACGCTTATGATTCCATTGAAATCAGTTTCCATAAATGAATGTTTATCCTTATACCCTTCCATCGGCATAAAACACTTAGCGATTTGCCAAGAATCGTCGTGCCATTTCCTCGCATCTGTATTTTTCCAAGACGGATTATGGTACATGTGTACCTGAGAAATTTCATTTCTAAATTGTTTGCAAAATCTATTTTGGTCACATGGTTTTATCTTTTCGCAGAGGAGGATGTGCAGTTTTTTAATTTCCTCTAAAACAATTTCACGAAGTCCCTCTTTTGTGTACAGTAATGCCAAACCAGTTTTAATCCAATTATGGAATTTTATATCATCCAGTTTAGATCTGTAATCAGACATTTTATACAAAAATATTTATATTTCAAATTATGTCATTAACGTCCATTTCATTATTTTATCTGAAAAAGACTCAAAAATAGTTATTATTCAACAGTTTACTGTCGCTTTATTTTCATATACAAAATGTATATTGAAGTTTTCTTCTCGTCCCCTGTGAGCGGAAATGACATTAAAGCAAGCGGGGTTCGTCTACACGTTGAATTATCCTACACTGCACATAATTAACTTGCAATATGAAATAAACATTATTTTATCAGATATAAAACCAACAAAATTTAAAGATATCATATCAGGGTAAATCTTTGTCACATAAAGATTTTTTTATAAAGGTTTCATTCACAAGATTTGCAATAGAATGGGAATGTTTTATTAATATTGCCAGTTAATTTTGTGCAGTAAAATAATAGCTTTTGCACCACATACACGGTTACAGACCATAATGTTGTGTTATCTTTTATATCAGCGTATCCTCACCTACTCCTGACATGAAAGGGTTATTTTGATGTGTTGTTTTTGTAGTATATATATGTAGTACATCATTTTAAGGAATTGTATTCAACAAAATATTCATTCATATAGTCAAGCAAAAAATAAAGTACTTATCGTAAACACAAATATTTGATGTTACAAACTCAAAGCAATTAGTTTGATCGATATTTAACATTAAAGAATTTTGTTAATTTCCTTGTAGACTCTGACTTTTTACGTAAAGTATGGATTGAATATGCATTCTATGGACTCGTTATCATAGGAAAAACTGACCTGAATTTATTGATCATTGAGCTGACAAGCCCGGGTAAGATCATGACAAGTATGTTCTCTGTTTGGAGTGGTTAATTCTCAAGGTTGTAACTTGTAAAATTATAAAGAAAAGATTATCTGTTCTATAAACATTTACAAATATTTTATTTAAAAGAACGTAGCAACTTGGCCACCTCTTACAGAGCATGACCGTAAACTTGGCCACGTGACTGATTTTCACATACTATTATTGTAAGTGTGTAAATAATAAAAGTAAGACCATCCTAACATATAAATTTAACTTAATTATAGAAGGAATGATGTAGAATTAATCTCATGTTGAAATATTTTACTAGATTTGCTTAAATACTCGTATACTCTTTAAGGACCATGAATACCTTCTAATTATAGGATGGACATTGTCTACTTCATGATATGATAAAAATGTAAACGATTACTAGAAACAATATACCCTTAAACTTTCAAGTATAAGATATTTTCTTTCTGTCTTTCTATGGTACAGCAACTTCGAGTTTTAAAAAAATATATGTACCTTTTAACAGAACTACGGTGTTTATGATACATATTTTGTCATTGGGAAAATCAGATAAGATTGTTAAAAAACAGTTTAGATTGCCGAGTACTTAGTAGTAAGTGAGAAGATAAATAATGATAGTTTCTTGAATCAGTACCTGGTACTTGCATATGATACTCGATCTTTTCATTCTGTCTACATAAAATAACCAATATCGTTACGGCTCTGCAATATAAGATATAGAACAATAATTTCCATGTGAGTTTTTCACTTTGCTATAATTAAAGATATATATTCAAAGTAATCTTTTGATTTTGAAGAAAATATAAAGAACAAGTTAAGTGACTGATATTTTCAATTGTGTACGGATATGCATTATTGGTATTGGTACATCAGTACATACTGCACATTTACTTTGCAAGTGGCGACATGGCCGATTAGTTAACGCGTCGGACTAGTAATCTAATGATCGCTAGCCGCATGGGTTCAAACTCCGTCAGGGGCAAGTCGTTGTTTCCTTGAGCAAGAAACTTTACACTCATTGCGCAGTAATGGTTGGTTCCAGGAAAGGATTCGAAAGTGTATCTATAAGTTTATAGCTTCCTACACAATCGAACTAAAATAAATTCTGTATAAACCAAGTACTGTACTGGTACTGTCACTGAATTACTCGCAAAAAAAATTGGCTGCTACTTGTACTGGTATTGAATTACTGTTTCAAAATGTGGTACTGGTACTTCATTAATTAGGGACAACTTTGGTTTTCATATAAGATAGAAAGTGTAACTTTTTATATTCAGATATAGTATCCAATTTTTTTTATACTTTTATATTAGGAAAACTATGTTTAGACAGTCTGTATGCAAAATATAGTGGTAAGTACTGGTACTTAATTACTTCCAACATAAAAGTGCTGGTACAATACTGGTATTTGTACTGATACCGCATAAGTTGACAAGTACTAGTACTGGTATTTAAGTAGTATACCCCTAGTACTAATACAATTTTCGATTGTGTAAAATGGTAGTTTAGGTACTATTATAAACCGCTTGTCCTTTATGTCATTGTAAATAGTTTGCTATAAAAAATACTGAGTGTATCGATAAGGCAGGGGTCTGATTAATGTAATTCTGCAATGTCCAGTCTACGATCGACAGCACAACGTCAGGTCCGTGTGTCCCTTTTCCATCTGGACCTGCGGTTTGATCTTCGTCAATCAGGAAGTTGAGTTGTTGTAGGATGTTCCGAGTATATGGATTTTACGCAGGATTAAAAAGTATAATTGGTCCATCCGGCGAGAAAAAAAATGAGACAAACTGACGTTCTGACTGAAGGGAAAACATTTCTTCAGAATCACGTGTGGCCGCACACACTCATTATATAGATCACGTTCAGGACTATGAAATTAAAAAAAGGAACCATAGTGAAACATAAGTTAAAGTGACATTATACCCATCCAAGTATAACTGGTGAAAAGGTCAAAGTTAAAACAACTTACGATTTTTCAATAACAGGTTTCAATTTAATATAGATACACGTAATAGTCCATGTGAATAATCAATAACCCACATGAATCACAAAAAAATCTATAGATATCCTTCAGAATACATCGTTAGCGTTCCGTTGGTAAAAAAAGTGTGGCAGGCCTTTTATATTTCGGGCAATTTATCACAACATTGACTTGACATTTTTCATAATCAATTATTGTGCAATGGCCATTATAATAGTCAATCTTTTTACATATATAGTCAATCGACAGCGAAAATATTGAGCATAATGCAACTTTAAGCAGAGATGTTATCTACATCTCTGCTTTAAGATAAAGGTGAAAAACAAGGTATTTAAACCTTTTTAAAGCAACGATTTTTATAATAACGGTACATTGTTTGATAGTTCATAACGTCAATACTGATATAAGAAAACGAATCCTTTAAATAATCATTATGAGGTATAGATTTCAGAACAAGATCGCTATGATCGATTGAGCGTAAATTATGTAATTCATTGTGAAAGAAACTAAAATTTTCGCTCATATACAACGGTGATAGATTATTTAAAGATTGCGCCATTATTGATGTATGGTAATTCATCCTCAAATTAAAATTCAGCTATTTATGTTTTCTAAAAATATTTAAATTTTTGTGCTACGAAAGCCTAATAGTGTCAAATAAAATATAAAAAAAATAAAAATGCAAAGGCGTAATAACGCGAATAAAGGCATTATTACGCGAATCAAAAGGCGTAATAACGCGTATAAAGGCGTTATAACGCGAATCAAAAGGCGTTATAACGCGAATCAAAAGGCGTAGTAACGCCTTTATTCGCATTATAACGCGAATCAAAAGGCGGAATAACGCGAATAAAGGCGTTATAACGCTAATTTAATACTATATAAATTCCAAACATTGGCCTAGTAATGTATGGAAGGAAGAACAATGTTGATTTAAATGAATTGATCTAGATGTGCGTTTTATTATATACTCGAAAGAATTTCGGGCATATTATGTTAAACCCCCTGGCGTCCGTCCGTCCGAGCAAACATTTTGGGTTTAGGGGCTATATAACAGTAAAGAGAACAAAAGAGAACAATAGGTTCATTCCGTGATCAAAGGGTTTATGGGCTAGTAGCCCTTAAGAAAACAAAGAAAATAACAAAGAAAATAGCCCTTAAACCCAAAATGTTGGAACGTCCGTCCGTCCGTCTGTCCGTCCGTCCGTTAGCAATTTGGTTTCCGGAGTATAACTTAAGTTCCATTTGGCCCACAATTTTCAAACTTCATAGGGGGATTGTTATTTGAAGGAGGTAATACTTTATGACCTATAAGTCACCAAGTCATCTTATATTGGCAAATATTAAGGTCTTCATTAGTTTATGACAAATAGTTTGCATTATTACAGTGCAAATGTAATGATAGTTATTGTAAATGTATATTGTATTATTCTATACGAGTTTAAATCTTGAGCAATAAATTCAGATCAATATTGGTCTCCTTTCTTGCGTAACTAGGCAATTTGATTAGTATAAATATGGTATTAAATTAGCATTATAATGCGTTTTAATTTGCGTTATTACGCCTTTTGGTTCGCGTTACAACGCCTTTATTCGCGTTACTACGCCGTTTGATTTGCGTTATTACGCTTTATTCGCGTTATTACGCCTTTTGATTCGCATTATCACGCCTTTATTCGCGTTATTACGCCTTTTGATTCGCGATATAACGCCTTTATTCGCGTTATTACGCCTTTTGATTCGCGTTATAACGCCTTTATTCGCGTTGCTACGCCTTTATTCGCGTTATTACGCCATTTGATTCGCGTTATAACGCCTTTATTTGCGTTATTACGCTTTTGATTCGCGTTATAACGCCTTTATTCGCGTTATTACGCCTTTTGATTCGCGTTATAACGCATTTATTCGCGTTATTACGCCTTTTGATTCGCGTAATAATGCCTTTATTCGCGTTATAACGCCTTTGCATTTTTATTTTTTTTATTTTATTTGACACTATTAGGCTTTCGTATGGAACGAATCGGCTTATTAAGTATAATTTTGGCAGCTCTTTATTTGGATTGAATTTTCTTTATTGATGTACGAGTTTGTGTCATTTCCCAAACCGTACAATACTAATTAATCACAGGAAGAATGTACGCTTTGTAAATATATACGGAATATTATGTTGTAATGCCTTTCTGAGCCTTTGTATTTTGCTACATGCAGCGTTGGAAAAATGATATTTCGCGAGACCGAAGGTCGAGTAAGATATAAAGTTTTCAACGTTGCGAGTAGCAAAATACATGGCCCCAGAAAACTGCTACAACATAATTTTCCTTTTATTATATACCTTTTCGTTTTATTCAGAAAATGAAATGTAGTTGTCAAGAAATAAATTCATGACTGACGGATGAATACGTAATTCTTGCAAATAGGCCACGCCT